AGGGAGCGAGGGAGGCGCGGCGGCCGCCTCCTCCTTCCGAAGCCAGCGGCGGGAGCACTCGGCCCGCAGCTCCTCCGGGCTGGCGAAGAGCGGCGGCGGCGGCGGCGGCTCGGCCTTGGCGAAGGGCCCGGTCACGCCCATTGAGTCGTCGCTGTCGCCGCCGCCGTCTACCGCCGCACCGGCGGCGGCCTCGCCCGTGCCGTCCAGGCCGCCGATCAGCCTGCTCCACTGCTGCCCCGAGGCGGTGGGGTCATCCTCCTGCAGGAGCGAGTTGAGCGCCGACGAGAGGCTCCGCTCCTCCGCCGCCCGCCGCCGGAAGTAGCGGCTCTTGACGGCCGCCTCGGTCCGGCCGGGAAGCCGCTGCGCGATGAGGCCCCACTTGGGGCCGAGCTCGTCGAAGGCGGCCAGGACGGCCGCGTCCTCCGCCGCCGAAAACCTGCGCTGCGTCGGCCCCGCAGGCATGAGGATGGGGAGGGTCGACGGAGCGGTCATCGGGACCAAGCGTCACAGTCGGCCAAGGGTGCGAGTCGGCGCCTACTCGAGTAAGAAGAATTCTTAAGATACAAGCCTCTCTCACAGCACACTGGCACGACAAGGGCGCAGACTGGCGCGGACTGGCACACACACAGGCTCACCGAGTAAGAAGAATTTTACGTGGCGAAAAGAAAGCTTCGCGCGTGTCAAGAGAACGACGCGAAAGAGGAAATGACAAGGGAGAGGACGACGAGAGTGAGACGACCGCGAGGTGGCATGAAGGTTGCAGCGAGAAGCGGCGAGAGACTGCGAAGAGAGATAGGAAGAGGCAGACTCCCTAGGGTGGGTGACGGCTAGCGCACCACACACCTCTCCTTAAAATCCCTGTGTGGTGGCGGCGTGCCGTCCTCCTCCCACCACCATCCCTCCCTTGGGTTGTCCGATTTCTTTCTTTCTTTTCTTTGGCGCGTGTCCCTGATCGTCCTTACAAGATCCTGCTCGTGCAGGTGGGGACCCTGTCCTTCTCCCACCCCTCGTTTGGCGTGCCCGTTTTATTTATTTATTTATTGGCGCGCGCGCGCACACACACACTGGCACTAACACTCGCCCCCCTCCGTGTCGCGATGCGCTCCCCGCTACCGTTCCCTTGTGTCCCTGATCGTGGCTCCGGCTCAGGTCGTGGGGCATAGCTCGGGTGTAAACGGGGTCTGGGCAGCGGCCCGCCGCAGGCGCCGCCGGAGGCTGGCCCGCCGCAGGCGCTGATTTTTTTTGGCGTTTTTTGCTCAAAATTGAGATATTTCTCATCAAATTCTCATCAAAATCGAGCTCGCTACGTCCTACGAGCTCTCTAACTGCACAGCACTCCTCGTTGAGCCTAGCGGCGCCCGTATCGCCCACGCCAACATTCTTCTTCTTCTTCTTGCCCTTCTTGCCCTTGGGCCCTTGCTGCACTTAGCCGCTCAACCTCCGCCAGCAGCAGCTCCTTGGCATGCCGCGCCGCCTCCATCTGCTTTGCTTCCCACGCTGCCGCTTCCTCTAAAACAGCGCCGCCACTAAGCGGCGCAACCAAGTTCTCGCATTGTTTGCATGAGCACGTGTCCTGCTTGGCGCGGCGCACAATCCGCGCGCGGCGAGTGAGGTGCGTGAGAGCAGAAGACTGACAGCAGGAGCTGCAGGAGCTGCAGGAGCTGCGCGGGTCGGATGGGCGGTGACGCCGTCGAGCGACGGCGCAAAGGTCAATCGCTGCTGCTGCGCCAACGAGAGCGGCGACACGAGGCTGCTGGCAGCTGGCAGAGCGAATCGCGATTCCGGCGGCCGCCGTCAGCCCGCCGACACCGACGGCCTGGCTGAGGTCAAACTCCTCCACACGTCGGACCAGCCATGCGTCGGCCACGGCGGCGAGACGTCTGTATGCAGACAGCCCGACACCCGGGCGATAGAACATGCCAGCTGGGCTCTTCCACAGGGCTCTCGTGGCCCGTGGCGCGAAACCCAGGTGAATATAGGGCGGGCTGCGGCGGGCGCAATAACTATTCACAGCTTATGAAAACCGGAAACACTAGAGTCTGCAGAAGAGTTCGAGTGGTCTTCGTGCTCAGAAGGATTGAGAGAGCTCTATTCACACCCTTTGTGCGTTGAAGACCACAGGCAATGCCCGTTTACACCCAACCGACGAGTCGCTGGGCCCTCTGACCTGAGCCGGAGCCCGGTGTTCGTCCTTCCAAGATCCTGCTCGTGACATGTACATGTAAGTGGCTAGTGCGTAGTGGGTAGGGAGGACCACCCTTGTCCCTTCCGCTTCTCCCGCCCCTCGTTTGGCGTGTCCGTTTTATTTATTTATTACTAACACTCGAAAAGAATTTTACCAAAACTCCTCTCTCGCTGTCGCTCGCAATACGCAAGTCGCACAAGGCACAACACAAGGGTCAAGGCACGGGACTGCCCCTGGCGCGCACCTGGCACTAATCAGCATCCGCCCCCGCCGCCGCCTCCACCGCCACCGCCGCAGCCCTGCACGCCGCCCCAGCCGCCATCGCCTCCCTCTCCGCCGCCGCTGCGTCCATCGCCGCCGCCTCCGCCTCCGCCTTCCGGAGCACCGCCACCCTCGCCGCTGCCTCCTTCGCCACCGCCGCCTCCGCCTCCGCCTTCCGGAGCACCGCCACCCTCGCCGCTGCCTCCTTCGCCACCGCCGCTGCCTCCACCGCCGCCGCCGCCGCCGCCTCCGCCTCCGCCGCCGCCTTTTTCGCCTCATATGCTTTGACCGCGCGCACGCCAAGTACCGCCGCCTCCGCCTCCGCCACCGCCGTCGCTGCCTCAGCCTCCGCCTGGGCTGCCACCTCCGCCACCGCTGCAGCCCTTCGCGCCGCCCCAGCCGCCATCGCCTCCTTTTCCGCCGCCGTGCGAAGAGCTGGTGGCGACTCGAGCAGCGTGCAGTAGGTCGGCATCTTCGCGACCAA